CATTGGAGATATTACATGATTTTATCATTTAAAGCAGTTATATATATATATATATATATATATATATATATATATTTCACATTAGGATAAATATCAGGTACATTGTGACACCACCCATTATAATTTGACATGAACTTTTCTGTTTTGGGGGCAAAGTATGCCTCTCCTCCCAAATACAATAGTGTTATAAAATGACTCTGACACAATACATTTCTTAGGTCCGGGCCATAGACCAGTGTGCATACTCGAAGACACTCAAGAATTTTACCGTAAGGCTGAGTTTGGTTGGTAAGACCTACTGTTTTGTGTTGAATCTAAGCAGGCTTAGTTATTTAAGTGTCACTAGGATCCAAATGCAAGATAGGTTGTCCTTTAAGGCTAGTCTCAGGACAAAAACTCTATAATTACTATTGGAGGTATATATTTGTGGATTTGTGAGATCTTCATCAAATTTAATTAAAAGATTGGTCAATGAGTTAGCGGTAAATCATAGAAAAACTTCGTTGTGTCTTGGTTTCAGTTCATTCCTCTTTGTAGATACTTCTATTTGGGGGATAAGGTCTGAAATTATTAATGTGGCCTCTAAGGCCCTACTCCTCTCCAGCCTCTTCTCATCCCACTCCGCATTCACGCAACAATCTTGCTACATTGGCCTTTTTAAAGTTCCCTGAAAATGTTGCCTTCTTTCCTACCTCAGAGCCATAATAATTGATGTTTCTTCTTTCTGAAATGTTCATTATCAACCTTTCCACCTGGATAATTCTTACTTAAAATGTTACTTCCTTAGAGAAGCTATTCTGATCCTCCAGACTCTGCTAAATACCCTTATTAGATGGTCTCTTGACATTCTGTATTTTCCTTTCTCAGCACTTATCTTAACCATAATTTACAGTTACTGTCTAAGCATTTATTTAATATGTTTCTCTTTCTAGCTTCATCAAGGTAGGGATTATTTTCTGAGTTGCTTGTTGCGGTACCTCTAGTTTTTAGCACAGTGTTTAGTTAATAGTGAGCAGGTAATAAAGATCCATCATTGAACACATTCATCAATGCTGCAAACGTGCTTGAAAGGTGCAAAGGTTGCTTCATCATATATCCATTTGTACTTTTAATGATAACATTGGAGTGAGTGAGTCCTAAGCACTTACACAATCTTGGGCATGCTGCTTCTGCTCTCTAGACCTCAGCTCATCAGTAGAATGGGGAGGTCAGACTCGGCTAAATGATATGTGAAAGTCCTTTCAGTTTTAGATGCCAAATATGTCAATGCCCAGCTTACCAAAATTTTAATGCTGACTACTTTATTAAAAATGAACTCATAAAATAGGTGGAATATTTTTAGCTGTAAAATAGTAAAAGCATTTGTAAAAGTGCTCCTCTAAAATGTGAGTGATTTTATAATTTTGAAAAATATTTAGCTAGACTTATTTTAACATTTATGTGCACTGCATTTATTTTACATATCTGGAAAAAGAAACAATTCAGTATCCCAAACAGTCACTGAGCATTTCTCAAAATTGAAATGGAACAATCCATATTTATAAAAACACTCTTCACCAAATGTTAAATGTTTGTGAACTTTGGCTAAGCCTGTTAGAAGCTTTACTACATTGTTGATTTTTTTAAAAACCTCAACTGTATTTGGAAATGAATATTCATTATTATCATCATTATGACCAATAACTATGATCTAAGAATCCTATGTTATAAACTCTTATGTGATAGTTAATCAGAGTTTAACCTTCTCCCTATCTAAACAATTGGTCTGTAAAGCAGTGATCTAGCTAAAATTATTTATTTGAATAAATAATATTTTATCTTCTTTCAAAAAAAGATACAGTAGCATTTAGAGAAACGTTTAAATTTATAAGTAACTGGGCTGAGAAGAAAACTTGGTGCTGCTCCATAGTTACTGCTCGAGCAGTATAATTGTGTTAGAAAAGTTTGACAATTATTGAGCAGCTATCTACCTGACATTTTAACAAACAACTTTAAATGAATCATTTCTCGTGAAACAATATAATTTAATTTGCACTGAATTTATTTTCCTTTTTTAAACTCAACATCATAAAACTATTCATTACATACATAGTAAATATAATCATATGCCACTTCTGTTGCCTCATTTATAGAAAGAGAATATTTCACCTTCCTAACATCCAGTGGTTTTACATACTGTTAGTTAATTCAGAAAATATTGATTTGTTATCATTTATTTGCAAGGCATTGTTCTTGATGCTTGGCGTCTATAATAATAAAAGAGTAATATGCTAATTAGACCGGACAGCTGAATGACCTTCTGGACATCCTTCCAGACTACCTTCCTGATGAAGTCACGGCTGTGAGGGCTGAGCCCTTGCATGAATTTCGTGCATCGGGCCTCTAGTTAAAACATAATTAGATTGATCAGGACTTCAATAAGCTAACAGTGTATCAAAGATGATAAGACATGTGCATAACTAAACAGAAGGTTAAAAATTGTGATAAGCATCACAAGGAAGGTGCAAGCTAGGCATTAAGGATCCATAGCTTACATCTCCTATACAACTTTATGTTTGTTCCAAGACTTTGCATCTTCCTTAGTGCCTAACACAGAGCCCTGCATATAAAACATATGCAATTGATGTTAGCTTAGCAGGTGAGCTGTGAAACTATTTTTTAAACCTATATCTGTTTGACAAACAGGATTCTTTTTATCAAAGTCAAACATAAAGTCTTCAATCTGAAAAGCATGATACTTGACTTTCTTCTGATCTTATGAATTACTGAGGTAAAATGAAGGCATAAATGATGTCTAAGGACTCTTGCCTCCCTAAGATTTCATGACCCTTTAATACTCGATAGTCAGACATACTGGTCATGATATCAGCTACTGTACAGTCAACACTTTTTTAGTTCTCCACCATCTCCACTTCAGTACCGAACTTTTCTACACTGGCTTACACCAAGCAGAAAATTTTCTGGAAGATTCACTTGCCCCCCTTTGAAGACATCTGGCTGAATTTCAACAGGATAAGAAGGAAACAAAAAAGACAGTCCTCTTTACTCCTCTAAGTTTTAGCAGTTTGACTGACTCTTTCTTGTGAATTTTTCTTGCCACTGAGTCATTGCTCACACAGAATTATGAAGCTTTAATTTCTTTAGAGGCTTGTTATATTAGAAAAATTGTTCCAAAGAAAGCAACAATCATGACATAAGCACATCTGGCTCTGGAAAATTATTCTTTATTAAGCTTTCATTTAATTACATGTGCTGAAAGGTCTGTTTTTGATTACTGTAATTTTTTTTATTTGTCCATCTGAATGATAGTAATACTGGAAATTACATACAAACCACCTGTTTTTTCTCCCCTACTAATGTGGCAAAGTTTGAGCTATTTTCTTTGTGGTTACTGAAACTAGGAAGTTTTCTACTTATTATGATATAATATGCCTATTAAGGTAACGGCTTATTCTTGATAAGAAGAAAAGAAAATATTTAAATGGCGTTTTCAAGCATGAAATAGTGGTAAGATTGAGGTATCTAAATTCTGGTCAACTAGCAGTTCAACTAGTTAATGTGTCACCAGTTTCATCCAAAACCTAATAAATTGGCAGTTAAGTATTTAACGTCCTGTGCTACAAGAAAGAAGCTTGACTTTTATTTTTTTACTATTATTTTTTCACAAATCTGGCTGTATTTTCCTTAGGACCATGGTATACACTGCCTAGAAATAAGACCCTGAGAAAAGAGCGATGTCCATTGGGCCTCAGGGATCTTGAGGGCAGCACTTTTATCCTTCAGAGAGATCAGCGGTCCCAGAGAAGCATGGTCAGTACCGAATGAGAACAATGTTCTTGTAGGAAATCCCTAGGAAAGCTCAGATCAGTTTCTTAGTTCACGAATGTTAAAATTACAAGAATGGACACACCGACTTTTAAAGAACTTTTAGTAAAGATTTTAGACACTAGAAAGAATCTTTGAGACCATTTAGTCAAATTCCTTTTTGGGCAATTGAAGAGAATGAGTTCTAGAGTGATCAAGTCCTTTGTTTAGGGACATAAAGTTATTGCTGGAAGGACCAGGGACAGGACAATGACTCCCATACCAGTACTTGTTTTTTTGTTTTGTTTTGTTTTTTGTTTGTTTGTTTTCTGTTACATTATTTGATCTCTCTTATTTTCCTCTTTGAAAAATAGTGAAAGAGAAATTGCAAAGCTGTCAGAGAAATAGTTATCTAACAATACGGTAAGTTTTTTTGAAACTCCATTTCAGCTGCATTTAAAGAGATAATGTTTGTCTTCCCTGTTTTGCAGCAGCTCTATGCCGCTCAGCTGGCCAGCATGCAGGTGTCACCTGGAGCAAAGATGCCATCAACTCCACAGCCACCAAACACAGCAGGGGCAGTCTCACCTACTGGGATAAAAAATGAAAAGAGAGGGACCAGCCCTGTAACTCAAGTTAAGGTACTTGCTTTGCAGGATTGTGGAAACAGTTTGGAAAATAGCTTCACAAAAAAGGTAGTGAACCAGGCTGTGCTGGGAATAAACAGCAGGAAGCAGAGCAACATAAAGGATCCCCAAATGCTCCTCTTTATGGTGAATTTCATGATTGAGCACTGAGAAACAGGTGTTTCCCGTTTGATAACAATAGTGCCATATTGTGAGATCTTTACCTAAAAACGCAAACTCACTTCTCAAGAGTTTTCCCCCTTTGGACTCTAGCTTTTATTTTTTAATGTTCACTGGCATGAATGGCCATGGTTTTATTACCAGTGTTTGTCATAGCCTTGTGACATTTCTCTCTAAGTTTCTTAAACAGGTGGGGAGCCAACTTATACTACTAGAGAAAGAGGATCTCCAAACTTTAGATTTAAAAAGGGAAACAAAAAAAGAGCCTAATGCTGGGCTTTATGTGGTTTTCTGATAAAGGTCTCCCCTTCAAAAATAGAAAGGTGGGCTCTGAAGAATGAGGGGTAGCATTGCATAATCATGTCTGATGCCATATAGGTTGTGATAAGATAAACAGGCTCTCCCAAGGTATGGCTAGGACATTCATAGATACCTTTCCTCACTGATTTTCAGTGCCTAAGAATGGGGCGGCCAGGAGGGACTTGGTGACTAAGGGAAATTGATGATCCATTCCAACTTTGTGCTGCAGATGGTACCTATAGGTGGTACTGGTTGGTTTTTATGATTGCCTTTCCTTCCTATATTGAATTAACAAATTCAAACAATTCAGGAAAACAATTGTTTTATATAATTGACTTATCTACTTAGAGGAGTATGCTAAGCACAGATGTATGATTGTAATGTGCCCAAAGTACTTCATTGGGGAGAAAATTTGCAATGATTAAATCTTCACATGGAAAATATCTAAAACTCAACAAAAAAGCATTGAATGCTACAGACTCACTGAAATCATTTTATTTTTTAATATTTGCAGACAGAAATGTTGAGATTTCAGAAAGGACTTTATAGAAATGGATCCTAAATACCAAAGATAAGAAAAGTAAACATCATTAAGAGAGATAGTCTGGCTGTGCCACACCTAAAGGAATTAATTTAATGCCACCCATGTTTTTAGATTCTCCAAAGAACTAGATGGACATTTATGCTTTGTTGTTAGAAATATTGAAATATGAAAATACGCTGTTTATATTTATTAAGGTAGCATAACTATGGTAACACACTTTTTATATTCCAAGAGTTTCTATTTCTGAATAAGAGTCAGAACTCTACAACTCAAACCAAGGCACTTTGTTTAATTATGGTTGTTAGAGTATGAGCATATCAAACATCAGTGATTTGAGGTATTGAGTATTAGCTATTTTAACATGAAAAAGTCATTTTATAAGTGAATTGGCCAAATGGAACTGCACCAAACCAAGCCTTTACTGGATGAGTAAAATGTTCCCTGGTTAAATTTAAGTTTATATCTGCTTTCACCATTCCAGCTTCGTGGGCCAACTGAATTTTATTACTCACTTGACCACATGCAAATTCTTAGGGAGTTCTCTATATAATTTGACCTGACTATATTTTATGTTAATAACAAAGGAAGTATTCCTTATATGTATGAGATTGTTTATTGTATGTGTGGGTAAAAATATATAGGCCAAAACATAAAACAAATGTTTTAAATTTTAAAAATAGCTCCTATCTATTATTGAAGAAGTTCTGAGAACAATCTTGTAATCTTCTAATTGAAAGAATTATGGTCACTAAAATACCTCATGTTTTTGTTTGTGTCATTGCTTTCTTTGTGTATATAACATGTCTACATCACAAAAGGCTAGTTCTCTGAAGGTAACAAAAATAGACACAAATGGTTTTATGTACCTTCTTTCCCCCAGAATTTTTATTCACTATAATTCTCAACATCAGAAGTCAGAATGCTTCTGTCTAAATATCAGTTCAATCATTTTTACCAGTCGTGTCACATTGGGCAAGTTACTTAAACTTTCTTCAGACTTAATGTTCTCCATAAAATGAAAGTTAATATTATTATGGATCTTAAATGCGAGAATACATCCTCTAGCATGTAGTGAGTATTGCAAAATGTTAATGTAGTGATGATGAGGCTGTTAATGATGATCTGATGGAAATAAAGAAGATGGTGGTGGTGGTAGTAGAGCTTGTGATTGAAATTTCTAGGTGTATACCGAGAGATACTAATGAACTACCTGGAGGATTAACATTTTCAACTATGATGGAGGAACAGGGACCAGATATACTGTACCAGGTTAAACGACTGAAACTCAGGAAAAAATCTATAAAACAATGGTTTTCAGATATTTACAATAGGAGTATAGGACAGTGATCCCTGACTAAAAAGAAACAAGTGAGACAAAGACTGTAGTTGTTTCAGGTTACTATCTAGAGCAGCGTTCTCAACCTGTGGGTCGCGACCCCTTTGGGGGGTCGAACGACCCTTTCACAGGGGTCGCCTAAGACCATTGGAAAACACATATATAATTACATATTGTTTTTGTGATTAATCACTATGCTTTAATTATGTTCAATTTGTAACAATGAAATTGGGGGTCACCACAACATGAGGAACTGTATTAAAGGGTCGTGGCATTAGGAAGGTTGAGAACCACTGATCTAGAGGGAATTGCCAGGCAATAGTGCAGGCAAACACATGAAGTTTGGCAGCCTCCCTTAGTAAAGAGATAGAGTTCATAGTTTAGGGATACTAAGGTGGATGGAATTAGTGAAGTGGGGTGCCAGTGAGGATAGTGCTGCACACAGAGAGTGCATTGAAGATCTACAGAAGGTTCCCCAAATTTAGCTGAGTATTGATTAGCATATGCATATGAGGAAACTATCTAACAACAGGGAAGATCAGATTAGCAGACAAAACAGTTGTAAGATTCACAAAGGACTAAGGATGGTTTGAATTCCCATTAGCCAGAGTAGAAAGTTCTGACAGATGGCATATCCAGTAGAATCCCCAGAAGGGTGTGACCTCAGTAGTGGGGCCAAATTATCCCTAGATTAAAAGCAGCTCTGGACCTGCCTAACAGCACTTCAAAGTGTGTCCAGAAAGGATTAAATTGTCCTGCATCTTAGCACTAAGTTCACAGATATTTAGAGGGGTATACAAACTCTGACACCCAATGTAAAGTTCACAATGTGTAGTGTCCACTCAATAATTATCAGGCTTTTGTAGAGGTTAGAAAATCTGAACAATAATGAGGGGAAAACTCAGTCAATAGAACCAGACCCCCAAAATGATACATATCATTGAATTAGCAGATAAAATAGTAAACACAGCTATTATAAGAGACAAGTATAGCCAACTGAGGAATTAGGCAAATCTGCTTCCCCCCAAACACCCACAGAGTTTCTGTCAGGCCAGGACCAGCTGTGAGGACCAGTAGCAGGTCTGACAGGGTAGAAAGAGATACATGATTGAGAGCTGATAGGTGCTTCCTGTGCCCAGTGGCATTGTTTGTGCAAGTGCCAATTATTAAATTATAAAGATAAATAAATTGGAGTATATTCAAAGCTGAATAAAACCAGATGTTATAAACTCCATATGTTCAAGAAGTTAGGGAAAAACATAAGAGTTATAAGGCAAGACATGGACGACCTAAATTGAATGTCTAGAGATGAAAAAAAATCAACACTGTTTGAAAAGTACACTTACTGGATTAATATTGATTGAGATTAGCAACAAACTAGACATTACAGAAGAAAAGATTAGGGAACTTGATTACATGACAATGAGACTATCCAAAATTAAATACAGAGAAAAAAGACAGTGCTGTGGGACATCAAATGACCTGATATGTGCAACTAAAACCCCAGAAGGAGAATGAAGGAACAGAAAACTATATTTAAGAAGTAATTGCTGATAATTTTTCAAATTTGAAGAAAACTCTGACCTTAGATATCTAAGAAGCTGAGTGAACCTAGCATCTGAATCACTATTATTTAGATATGAATAAAGGAACTTACTAGTCTAAATATCCTTTGAGTTTAGAACAAAAGGAAGTAAATTATAATTAAGCATATTGGATAATTTTGACATTCACAAAGGATGTAATTGTTACCTAAGAACCTATCCTATGTCTAGATGTAAATAAAAGAACATTGCAGCATGGATGTGTCTGATTACCTATTTCCTACCATGACAAAAACAGAACAAAACAAGAGCAAAAACACTGTAGGACATCCCTACATTATCAAATGACTTACAGTGGAGCCTTGACTTATGAGTTTAATTCGTTCCGTGATGGAGCTCGTAACTCAAATTACTCGTATGTCAAATCATAAAGTGAACGAGTGAGACACGTGATGTTGGGCTGATGTTGTGGTGTTCACTGTGACGTTCGCTGCGCCAACTAGCGGTGGGGTATCTGAAGCTGGCTCGTAACCCGAATTTTAGCTCGCAACTCAAAGCAAAAAATCGGCCAAGAGACAGCTCATATCTCGAAAAACTCGTTAGTCGGGACACTCGTAAGTCAAGGCCCCACTGTATTGTCTCTGATAGTATAGTAGTAAAGGGACCTGGGATTTGGAGTCCAATAAACTAGAATTCAGATTTTGTCCTTCCACGTAGAGCTTTGGACAGTGCTTTTATCACTCTGACTCAGCTTCCTTTGTGAAGTTAGAATAATACTGCTCAACCTCATAGTTTATTGAAGGTGACATAAGCTAATATGTGTGAAAATGTCTAGCACAGTGCTTGGGACATAATGGCTCCTTTGTTGAATGTGATTTTTATTTTTTTCGAGTTCTCCTTCCTGAGTAGTATTTTCTGGCATCCCTTTTTGTTGCCTCTTAAACAATGACCATTAATACTGGAAGAGACCTTAGAGATCAGCTAAAACCAGCCCCCCCCCTTTTTTTTTTCTACAGATGAAGAAATTGAGCCTCAGAGAGGTCACAGGGTTGCCAAGGGGGAGGATGTTCTGTTTCCAAGCTCTACTGTGTGTTTTAAACAATAACATTAAAAGCAAGATCTCTGTGCCTCCTCAGAAGCAAAACAGGCCTTAACATTTGCTGACAATTTCATTTTAGAACACAATAATGCAGATCTTAAAACTGAGCATTTAAATGAATATGCTCATATTACAAGTAAGTTTTTAGCATGGTGGAAGTGTTGTTACGGGTGTTTTATGGCAGGATAAATGAGACAAAATAATGGCAAGGAGCTTAGCTTTTGAACTTCTGGTTAAACCAGAGTTACAAGCAAGATATTTGAGTCCTGTGCTCAGTATAGGACAGGTCTTAAAATAGACATTCTGTAAATATATGGAGCAAAGATATAAAGAGACATCACTTTAGACATGAAAAATAAATTGCATATAGCATGGTATGTAAAACATAATTATAATGTGTGCTAACTCTTTGCAAAAATTAATTTTAAACATGAATAGAGACCAGAATACAGACCATGAAGAGTGCCCACACCCAGAAAGCCACATAGAAGCCATGCTGCGGCAGGCGGCTCCGGGCAGAGGCCCAGGAGATCAGAGAAGTCCTCCTGTGTTTCCATTTTTAAAGTACTGGCAATTGTTTGATTTAAAATATATATTAAAAAATTAGCTGCAGGGCCTATTTATAGTTCCAGGAACTTTTTAGAGAGAATAACACAAAAGCACTACAGAGCTGCTGAAATTTTAAATAATTCTTTGTGAATGCCCTAGGTTAATTTAGATCCCTGAAAACACATTAGGAAATTAAGCTGTAATGTGAGCTAATTCAGATTTTAATTTGGCAAAAAGAATGATCCAACTACACAGTTAATGTAAATAGAAGCATAACACAGGGAAATTAATGAGGTTTCCTTCAGATGAATCTTCGAGGAGGTAGATAATTAGCTCCTTTTGTTATGATTGTAGGAGAATGTGGCATTGTCTCTGAGGTGTAAAATAACTGTGGCTTACTAAGTGATAATGTGCTTCATTTGTCTTTTTCTTTTTAATAATTATTTATGTTAAACTCCTGTAGGATGAAGCTGCAGCACAGCCGCTGAACCTCTCATCCAGACCCAAGACAGCAGAGCCTGTCAAGTCCCCAACCTCTCCCACCCAGAGCCTCTTCCCAGCCAGCAAAACCAGCCCGGTCAGCCTGCCCAACAAAAGCGGCATCCCCAGCCCCATTGCAGGGAGCCTGGGAAGGGGATCCTCTCTAGGTAAATGGAAAGGTCAACACCAGGAAGAGACTTATGAATTAGGTAACAGAAACCACACCTGTTGAGCGATGACTGATCCTTGCTTCCAAAGTGTTCCTTAGTCCAAGAAAAAGAAAAAAAAAGTAAAATCTGTCCTACTGAAACATAACCCAATTTGGCGCCCTTTGGGTTATTAGAGCTTTTGGGAAAGGCCATCATATAAATTCTGCTGGGATGGGTTCTTTAGATGATGATGAATTCGATCCAGCAAATCAGACTGTTGGGAATTTCTGTGTTCGATCAGTGCTTTGCCACTAAAGTAACTCTGGGCAGAAGGCATGACCTTGAGCCCTCCAAGGACCTAGAGGGACCCTGGCCTCAAAGCTGCCCACCAAAAGTCCAAAATTCCTTTCAAATGTTATGTTTTCTTTTTAAAATGTATGTGACTTTCACATCTAATCTATTAGTTTGCATTAAAACAAATCTACGTGAAATAAAATTGGAATATAGTAAGATATAATGATCCTCTGGCTTCTTAGAGTTGCTGACACGTGGCCAGGTCTCTCTAGGAATGCTCACACCCCGTGTGAGAAGTGTGCAGGGAAATCATGGCTTCTGGCGTCAGACGGACTTGGACTAAGAGCCTTTACTTACTAGCTGTATAATCCCGGGAAAGATATTTAATCTTTTAAACTTTAGTTTCCTAATCTTTGAAAGGGGGATATTATTACCTTGCTCATAGGTTGTTATGAGAATTAAGAGAGAAAAATGCATGTAAATTGTCTAACGTGGTGTCTGGCACTTTTAAGGGGTAAGGTTTAAAAAGGCTGGGCTGAGTGAATACCAGCACCCTTACAAGTACATGTGGAATGAAGCTTGTGAAAAACTTGTCAGGAGCTCTGTTACTTTATTGTTACTATACTCTTTAAGTCTCTCACTTTTCAAATAAAGACACAGACATTCAAAGGGATTAGGGACTAGTGCTAGCATTTCTTCACCATATTACCTTCCTTGTGTTATTGAGTACTGGAGCCTGAAATGCTTATTGCAGTAAGTTAAATAATGTGTACATGTAGCCATTTACAGCTTACCATTTTTGCCTATTTGATTTTTTCACAATAATCTTATGAATTAGGTAGTGTAGTGTTATTACCCTGGATGTATGTAAATGGGGTTCTCACAGGTAAAATGACTTGCCCACAACCATGTAGCTGTGCAGTCAGCGGAACTAAGGCCAGACTCCACGTCCTCTCCCACGTAATCAGTGCTCCTTTTGTGAACCCACAGTTGGGGCATTTGCTGAACTGTGCTGAGTCGAAGGCAGAGGTGAGTCGTCCTCACTGAAATTTGCACATTAGGAGCCACACAGTGGCCTGTTCTCATTTTGAGTCAGGATGCCTTTTGGGGGCCCGAGATCCTCAGCCCAGGTCAGTGGGTTTGCATGGGAGCAAGGACCAAAGCAAATCCGGTGTGTGAATGTGACCACTGGATCATCAGAAGCTGCGAGATGAGGAAAAAGCCAGCATCAGTAAATAATAATTGACTTGGTCTTGAAATGGCCCTCTATTATCCATTTCCTAGTTTTGTTGGGAAAGCATTGATTTGCTGTGTTGAGCATTGTGAGGGACGGAGGTAACCCTGTTACAGGCCCTGCTTTTATGAAGTTTATACTTCAGCAGAGCATATGTCTTAGATCCTGAGCTAGAAATGGGCTGAAGTAATGGCTCTCTGCTCCAGACAATATAGGAGAGATTTTTTGGTATCAGAAAAGCTTCAGAGCACAAGACATTGGTTTCTATATCCTAAAAAGTGACTGATTTTAAAATTTTCCCATAGATAGCCTTGGGAATATTTTCTAAAAGCAAAGGCATGTGCGCGTGTACACACACACACACACACACACACACACACAGACATGGGCCATGAAATGCTCATACCAGGTTACAAACAAGTGGGTTCGAAATCTACCAATCAGCAAGCTATTGTTTTATTTTTCTCTAGAACTGGAAAAACTTCTCTAAAGTATAAATTTTAACCTATAGTATAATGCAAGATATGAAGGAAAATTAGTCAGTTTAATTTTGAAAATTTTCCCACTGTGTTGCATGGAACATAATGAAAGTAAATATTTATTATCACTTTATTTGAAGCTTTGTTCTTATGTGAAAACCATCCCCACTCATACAGCCTCACTGTCAGGAAGGCAGGAAGCTGAGAGCAGTGGGTGATCGGGCTGGGGGCAGGGAACGGGTTGTCATTCTCTTGGTAAATAACTGAGGCAGCATGATGAGTAGAATGCTTCATTAACCAGCCAGTGACTGGGGAACGGAGAGTGTGGGGTGTTTCTTCCCGCCCCCTCTCTCCTGCAGTGGACATACAAACACACACATACAGATGTCACGGAAGCACACATGTAGCCTCGCAGATCCTTTCTGCTAGGCCAGCAACAGCTTTCCGGAATTAGCACACCAAACATAATGAGCAGCCTGAACAGACATCTCTGTCCCCCCTTCCCACCCCTTTCTTCCCCTCTACTCTCCCGTTAAGTGTTAGACATAGCAGCGCAGATAAATGTATACACACAATTGGAATCCAGGAACCTTCATCTGTGAGGTGGGTTGACAGCCCAGATAAACTGGAGTGCTAGGGCATCCTCCAAGAGCTAAAAAATAAAGCGAAACAAAACCAAAACCCAAAACAATCACCAACACAGCTTCATTGCCCTGGCCTTCTGTGCTCTGTGCACAGTATTGCGATTTTCTTAGTAGCAAACTTGCCCCTTCCTTGTTTGGCGAATGCAGCATTCTACAGGGGAGTGGAGAGCAGAAGTATTTTGTAAAGATTCTCACCTCACAAGCCTCTGATAATGCATCCTGTGTGTGCAGATATCCTGTCCAGTCTCAACTCCCCTGCCCTGTTTGGGGATCAGGATACGGTGATGAAAGCCATTCAGGAGGCTCGGAAGATGCGAGAGCAGATCCAGCGGGAGCAACAGCAGCAACAGCCACACGGGGTTGATGGGAAACTGGCCTCCATGAATAATATGGGGCTGAACAACTGCAGGAATGAAAAGGTAAAACTGGCTTCCCTCCTTCACTGGCTCGCTAGCCCCATTGGCTCCTTCTCATCTGGCTCTTTCCAGGCTCTCAAGCATCAACCAGGCACTCAACCTACCTGCCCATTGTTGTCTTCCTGTCCCGTTCCAAAAGATTTAGAAATATCTTAAAATAAAGGGGATATGTGAGGTTACTAGAATAAGAATATAATATTTAAAAAGAAGCTTGTACGGTCATGATGGGATAGATTACTATAACTCATCACTGAATTTGCTCTAAGCTTCCTATCAGCCAGAGCAAGAAATAAAACAAAGCAGCTTATAGAATGCATTTGCTGATTTTGTTGTTGTTGTTTAACAAATATTTATCAAGTGCTTATTTTATGAAAGATACTGTTTTAGGCATGGGAGATGCAACAGTTAACAAATCAGATAAAACCCCTGCTCTCATAGAGCTGACATTCTAATAGGGGAACACAGATGACCAAAAAATATAATATGAAATATATAATGCAATGCCAGCAGTATTAGGAGTGAATAAGTGCTTTGAGAAAAATAGAAGCAAGTTCAGGGAATAGGGATTGTGGGGTTGCTCCTTTAGACAGGGAGGTAAGGACTCTCTGAGAAAGTGACACTGAGTAAAGATATGAATGAAGTCATGGTGCAGGGAGGTCCTGCGAGGAGCTGGAGTAAGAGCATCCAGCAATGGGAACATTAGCGTAGAGGCCCTTGGGGCGTAGGACCAATGACCAGAAGGCAAGTGTGGCAGGTGCTGCATGAGAGAAGGGGACGCATGGGACAGAGCATGGTAGACCTTGTGGGCCTTGGAAAGACTTTGCATTTTACTCTGTGGTGGGAACCCTTAGATGGGTTTTGTCCAGAGCATTGACATGATATGACTTACCTACAAAAAGATCATTCGTGTGATGTGTGAGATTGGACTGTAGGAGGTTAAGAATGGGGACAGTTGAGAGGCTTTTGTAGTTTATTGAGTGAAAAAATCTGATTATCTGATGAATGAATGATCCTTGCCATTCCATGGCTTATTGCTGCATCACTGCAATTTCTGCCTCCCTCTTCACATAGCTGTCTTCTGTGTCCCTGTCTCTCCAAATCTCCCTCTTCTTAGAAGGACGTTAGTCATTGGATGTAGTTCCACCCTAATCCAGGATGACCTTATTTTAACTTGATTATATCTGCAAAGACCCTATTTCCAAATAAGGCCCCATTTTCAGGTATCAAAGGTGAGGACTTGAATATATCTTTTTGGGGGACACAAGTCAACCAATTAGTGGGATACAGAGCCATTGCTCATTTCATATCCTCCTCCCATTCTTGATGGATCTATATACGTTAGCTAGGAGACAGCTGGGATACCGGGGGCTGGGAAGGGGTTTGAGGGGATGGAACTCTCGTAGCATGTCTGTGACCAAAACCCTCACCAGATTACAAAGCTTAGCTCTGGAAGTGTTGACTTCCCAAAGCTTAATAAAGAATTCAACTTTACTCTCAGTTCTCATTGCATTGAATTACTGAAGTTAACATTAAATATGTATGTATACGTGTGTGTGTGTGTGTGTGTGTGTGTGTGTGTGTGTGTGTGTGGTATGTGTGTGTGTGTATATTATTTAAATGTAATCATTATTGGACACCCTGCCTTGATTGATCCTCAGGTAGGAGAGAGACTATCTGGGGGAATGGCAGGTCTTTCTGTGCCTGTTAAGCCATAAACATTTATATACTTGGGACTTGTCAGGCACTTGCCAGCCACTGGATCTGTTCAGTCAAGTGCTTCATTCCCCACGAAGTGCTTCATCCTTGGCAGTGGGCTCACAAGGCAGACCCCTTCTTTAAGAGATGCCTGAATAGATGGTCAGGACCACAAGAAAAAAAGGCTTTGTCATCAAACCTCTTCTACCTCTCTGATATTAAAGATAAACACAGAGTCATTCTTTTGACCTAAGATACTGTCTTGGGCTCAGTGAGAACACCATGGAATAATAACATATTTAATTTTAATGTAAATAACTTCCTAAGATTCTTTCTTGGAACATGGGTAGGTAAAGAAGTTTTGGCATAGGGCTAATGAGTGGGAAATTGGGTTAAAAATGAGGGTTTATGCACCATGGACCATCTCCTACTTTACAATTTTGTCCAGGGTTAATCCTAAAATTAATTTGAGACACATGTCTGTGATTTGTTTAATTGAGTCTTTTTTATTTATTATTTTTCAAATGAAGTAATATATACTTACTGAAAATTCTGGTAATACAGAAAGATATATGGTGAAAAGCTAATTAGCCTCCTCACCCCATTAACTACCATTAATGATTCAAAAATTTTCTTTGAGTAGTAACAACCATTAGTGATTCGAAAATTTTCTTTGCATATATGAGAAAGTATTAATGATTTTAAAAATATATATTCTCACTTGGAAAAGTAGTCACTGAGTCTCACCAACTACGTGATATTTGGCAAGTTAGTTAACCTCTCTGACTCTCAATTCCTTCATCTATAATATAAAAGTAGTGATCTGGGTTACAATGACATAAGCTTATGTGAATATACCCAGCCCAACTCCTGGTACAGAGTAGGAACTTTCTTATCTTATGTTTCCATACCTTTTTTTAAACTGAATTTATTGGAGTGATATTGGTTCACCAAAACATACATCATCTACACACTGAATCGTGTGTCCACCTCCCCAAGCAAAGTTTCTTTCTGTCCCCACTTTCCCCTGCCTTTGCCCACCTCCATCTCCACCTCCCCCTGTTTCCCTCTGGCTATCCCCACACTGTTGTCCATGTCTATGTGTTATGTAAATATGTTTTTTTGGTTAATCTCTTCACCTTCTTTCATCCAACCCCTCCCCACACCCCTCCCCACTGACAGCTGTCAGTCTGTTCCATGTATTCTTTCCAACTAAATCATGGTGGGTTTTAAATATGTGGAACAAATATACTACTTTGTCACAGATTTGAGATACTCACACAATAGTAGGAGGGTCAGTAGAAGGAAGCAGTAGACGTGTTGGCATATTGGCCAACTCACATACTTAAACTCCTTTCCAACTGAGGTAATATACAAAGTTAGAAACTTCAGATTTATCAGATTAAATCAGGGTTTCTCAGCCTTGGCATTATTAACATTTTTGCCCTGGTAATTCTTGGGGCTACTAATTTGGCCTCTATTTATTAGATGTCAGCAGCATTCCCCCCTTTTGTAACAATTAAAAATGACTTTAGACATTGCCAGATGTCTTCTATTGGGGGAGGGAGGACAAAATTACCGCTAATTGAAAAACATTGGGCTCAGTAAAATATATTTAGAATTAATACATTTCAGAAATTTCATTCTGCAAAAAACTAATTATTTCATTTAAATAGCCATATTATCATTAAATTATGAAAAATAACTTGCCTTTGACTAATGTCATGAATGAAATATTTCTTTGAAAAATACATATGGAAATTTTTGTTTGGAATATTAACATAAAGAGTATTTAAAATAGAATGTGTATATATGCTATTTAGTTTTTGGGGTAAAGGGACATGTGTTCAGTACTGGTGCAGCAATTCAGCCTTTCAGTGAAGGCCCTCAGTCCTATTAAGCAGGCTTAGAATAGCAGCATCCTGATCCATAACCTAGCAGGACATTGGCACTGGACACACCTTGCTTTCAGCAGTGACTCTCTCTCTGCGTCTGACACTGTGACCCGAGATAGTTGAATTTGTACCATCAATTGGAGTTGAAGTTCAAAGTTAATGCACTATTAACTTCAAACACAGGTCAATTTTAAGTATTTCTCACTGAGTTTTCTTAATTCATTTTGGAAGAAGACGTCTGAGGTTCTGAAATAAGAACACCTTATTTCACACTAGAAGACAAGGAAGAGAGATGAGAGATTAGGCTAAGATCAAAAGTAATGATGAAAAACCAAACTTGACCTAAAACATATCACACTGAATATGACTGAGCCCCTGAGGGGAAGCAGCAGGGTGACTTCTACAGAACCAGAAAGCCCTGGTTTCCCAGTTAAAGGGAGTTGTCTCAGCCAATGACTTTACTGGTTGAATTTGGAGCACTGGAAAAGTCCATGACATTCAGGGATGTGTTCACAAGCTCTCCTTAACTTTTGTGAGCTCCCTCCCCAATAGTGTCACTCATTTGAACATACATTTTGTGGTTTTATAGGCTTTGTTTAGTTTCTAGAGTCAGCATCTATTCTTGCTTATTAAGTTAGTTGCAGTCAGAAGAGTAAATTTAGAACTTTAAAGGACTCCTGTTATGGTAGATTTGGTTCTCTTGTAATAAAAATAATCCATCTTAATTTTATGAACTTCCATAGGACACTACTTTTTCTTCTGGAGGATCAGACCTTCAGAAGTCAAAGTGGGTAAATATATAATCTGAAATAAGGTTGATAAAATGGATTGTTTCAAATTCAATTTAACTGTCTTCAAAATTGTCCATTTTGGAATTATCTCAGTATCCTTAAATATAAAGATCTGTAAATTAGATTTATGCATTTGTTCTCATAATCTGTAATATAGTTTTAGAAAATTTTTCACAGTGTTGCTGTCATAAAACTTTATAATTTATTAAGCATCCCTGGTTGCTCTCTTATTTGGACATTCTTTATAAAGGGGTGTGTCATAGAAGCAGATGATGAGGTGGATATTAGCGAGCAGGTTTATTGGGGAGTTCTCTTTCTGATTGCCACCTATGTAATGGAAAGGATCAAAGCAATGCAGTCTCAATCAACCTCAGCCAAGCCCATAGGAAGCTTGGAGGCTGCTATGTCCATTCAGAATTGCCCCAAGTGGAGGGAGTGAGTTTTTACACACTTGTGTCAACCAGTTTTTGGATGAAGGCTTCCTTTGGAAGTCTCTTCAGCTAGGTCAATGCCAAACAGCTGAGGGTGAGCTACCAACATATTTTGCAGCTGAGGGAATAAATCTTTCAGTCCTAAAGGAGAAATCTGGGCAGTGCATCACAATGTCCATTGTAGATTGTTTGTATGACATGTAGTAACATTAGATGTATATAAAACATGTTTGATATGTACATAAATGTGGACAAGCATTTACTACACAGGCATAGAAGTGCTTGTGTCTTTATAATATGGAATCGCATATATGTTCATATGAATACATGCCTACCCATGGTGCATTTCACCTTATTGGGTAAATCCCTATTTTGGTGCTTTTAAAATGAAACATTGTTAACTTGATCAGCCAGAACGGCACCAACGGAGATGTTCTGGTTGGTTGTGTCACAAGATATTTAGGGTCTGTTAAATATATAGATTGTAGGGACAATAGACTGTAACGGCACCTTAGGAGCTGTTCTGCCCCATCATTTCCACATAGCTTCTATGCATGGACTGTGAGTGCCTTGCCAGCAGAAGTCTAAGTTACTGCCCTGGCTTTTAGCTTTCCACACCAAGAACACCAGCCATCTCTATCCCTCAGTACCAGTGCAATTAGATTAGATTATAGGCTAATTGCTTACCAACTTTTGTTGTTTTGACATCTCTAAGACAGAATATTTTAGCCATAACAGTACACAGCAGAGTTTTAAATAAGATGCTTCTAAATGTTCTTAGAGGTAAGTTAGAAGAGAGGCAAGGCAGGGTGGGCTTTCTTAGTGTTAAAATGTGTTCTCTGACTTTTCTGAGCTTCTTAATGTTTGAATGTTGACTTGAAGATTGGTTAGAGCACTGTCCTTCATAGGTATTATACAACTTGGGAATCTGGTTAATTAGCTCATTTTAATCATCTTGAGGAGCCAGTAGACTGATTGCCTACTGATCAGAGCTGCTCATAAATAGGTAGATTATACATCCGTACACATGTAACCTGAACTGCTGTCCCCCTCATCTTTGGATAGTCTCTTAGGAAAAAAGCTTGACCTCATTGGGTGTCAAAGTGAGCTGCCGTGGACACTGTAATCACACTTTGCCTGCCTCTCAAGTATGTTTGTAGGATTAAAACTGCACAGTGAAAGATTGGATGGGACATTACATTTGATCTAGTCCAATTACTTCAATTCACAGATGGGAAAACGAAGACCTAGAGAAAGACAATGACTTGCCCATGATCACACAGTGTATTCATGGCAGAGCATGAATTAAGCCCCAGCTTTTTCTTAGTCAATAACATTACTATTTTTAGAATAGTACCAGATTAATTTTCAATGAGATCTTTAAGCCTATTGCATACAAAACTACTTACACTGGCAGTCTCAACCCTTAGATAGAATAAGCCAGGGTGAAAATAAACTGAAACTATGAAGCAGAAAAACATTGAGCTCCCTGACTCCTGTATACTTGTCACCTTCTGTCAAGGTGGGACATTCTTCCCTGCCATGATATCCACTGGTTCTGGCTGCGGAGAGATACCAGTCAGGAAGCAGAAGGTTGAATGATGTAGATAGAGACAGACGTGGTGGCTAGACCCAGAGCAGAGTTAGAATTAGAGACTATGGGTTTTGGAGTTGATTAAAACTGGGCCTCAGTGTCCAGGGTTAATCTTGGAAGTCACCTGTGCTATTTTCTAATGTTATTTAGGTGAGTGACTTAACCTCTGTGAATCTCAATGAGCACATCTATAAAATAAAGGCAATTATCCTTTTCTTGAAGGATTGTTTTGAGGAAAAACATGTCTAGAGTACCTGATACAGAATATATTCTATTAATGTTAGGACCTTTTTCCTCTTTAAGGTCTCAGCAGGTTGTCAAATCTATTGTTAATTTTGTTAATTTTTCACTCTTGATATTCTCCAATGATGAATGGGTTAACCTACTGCTTCTTGGGGCCAAAATGTCTTAAGATAGAGTAGAAGGTTAGTAAGAAACTAATAGCCACCTTCTTACAAAATCAAGATACACATTTTTCTTTTTCATTCTTCCAATAACTTGCATGTACTAGCTACCTGCTATGATCTGGCCATGGCGAAGATAATAATGTTCAAATTTGATTACATTATATTGCTGGGGAGCTTCTGTCCCTACTAATTTAATATATACTTTAACATATTTCCAGAAAATCAGAATTTCTATCTATGATTTTCAAAAATACTTAACCTGATTTTTGATAACCATAAGAATTTCTCATGCCAAAATGATACTTTTTCAATCATGGAAATAATAATCCAATCACTGAGGTACCATGTAAACTTGTTCTTGTTTATTCAAAAAAGCAGTTGTTCATTTTTCATAAGTGTAAATTCTTGCTCATCACCCATAGTTTGCAAAAAAAAAAAATCAGAATGTTTCTTGAGTATTACATTGATGTCATAATACTGCCCCCTTTTACTGGAAATGAAAAACATATTGGATGTCTTCTGCTCCACATTGTCAATGGCCACAGCTCCTTGTTATTTGTACAATTGATTCAAATATTCATTGTTGCGTGACAGGATACGTTCAGACAGAAGATCAATATAGCCATAAAACAATAAGCAAAAGAGGATTGTGAGCAAATGATTTCGCAAAGTGTGTTTGGAATGACTGAGTTTTTATATAACACACAGAATAGCGAGATTTTGTTGTTTCCAAAGGAGTTCATAGTACTGATTAATCAGGAAGGTTGTTTTGTGAGCGTTTAACTAACATGCTCAGCTGCAGCGCTCCTTTCCATGTTAACCTGTTCCCAAGATAACAACGTGTTATGAGGGGTGTGGACACATTAGACAATTTACAGTAAAATAAAATTTAAATTTTAACATCCTCATTTACAAAGCAGAACAGTAGTTGGTTTTTAAAAAAACATTTATGTAGCATTTTTCACATCATGACAAGAAATATTTTTGTAATGCTTCTATGTTTTAAAAATATTATCACATATTTATCTCTCTTGAACCTTTCCAAATTTGGGGATGTAGTGATACTATCCTGTTTTGCAGATTAGGAATGTAAGTCCAGCCCTAGATCACGTTCTTGCTCTCCCTCTAATTTTCTCGATCAGCATTCCTTCTCTTCATCATCTCACTTGTTCCCTCCATCTCTGTGAGATTGACGGGGCAGTTTTATTCAGAATCTAAAAGAAGACATACATCTGAGTTTCAAACATCAATTTTAATGAAGGGAATGCTAAAATCATGAGATAAAGAAGTCCACCTACATACATATGCTTCATGCATATTTCTTTGAAAAGGATAGTTATTTATACTTGTGATGGTGTTTTTCTAAAACAGTATACACAGATCAAAATGCTATAAAGTTAGAAAAAATATAAGTTTTATTAATTTTAGGTTTTATGTTTGAACCAATAACATTGGGCAACTATGCAGTACTGTGTGTAGGCTTCTGGCTGAAGGTAATCATTAAGTTCCATTTATTTCTGTTGTCAGGGCTACTTGATTGGTTGCCTAGCTACTAGTTTAAGATCTAATCCATGAAAACAACAACAAACTTGTTTGGTTTCTTTCTTCTCTGCACGTAAAATGGAAAAAATGGTGAGAATTTATATAGGTTTACAAGGTTGAAGATACTTCCTAGGGATGGGGTGGGGAAAGAGCAACACAGGGCTTTTAGGTTTGTTTACAAGTATCTTACATTAACATGCCATTCCCAGTGGAAGGATCTCCCAGAGCAAGGGTTAAAATTAGATACATCACAGTCCAAAACTTTGCATAAAGACTTGTTGGTTTGAGTATGTATGGAGCAGATTTACTCATAATGAGGATTTTATAGACCTAACCTCCGGCTATGGCAAGTAGATCCTAATCCTTAATCTTTCTGGATCTAATCTCTTAATCCTCCTAGATCAACTGTCCTTAACATTTTTGGTTTTAGGGCTCCTTTACAGTCTTAAAAATTATTAAGAACCCCAAAGAGTTTTTATTTATGTGGGATATATCTATCAATATTTACCATATGAGATAGTAAAACTGAAGAATTAAAAATATGTATTTAGTTATTTGAAAATAATAGTAATAAACTCATTAGACGTTAATATAAATAGCACTTTTTAGTATTAAGTAAATTCTTCAAAATAAAAAAAAAGGAAGAAGACCAGCTTTGTTTTATATTTTTCCAAATCTCTTTAATGTCTGGCTAAGTGGAAAAGACAGCTTGATTCTCATATCTGCTTTGAATTCAATCTTTTGCTGTATCACAAGGCCATTAGGCCTTTAATAAATATTTCCTCCCTCTCTCCCTCTCTGTCTCTTTCTGTCTGTCTCTGTCTCCATCTCTCTCTCTCTTTCTTACTTTGTTCCTAGCTTCCACATCCACTTGGTTAGGTTGTGGATAAGAGCAAAGATTTGAAGTTAGACTGCCCAAGTTTCTCTAAGAAATGGGAATAGTCATAGTTTCTAAGCACAAGTGGTTGTTGTGAAGATTTAATCAAATAATCCATGTGCCAGGCCTTGTCCAGTGCCTGACCTATA